TTGTAAAACAGGTAAATAAAAGTGATTGCTTCTTTTTTTTCCAAGCAGTAAAACAGTGGTGACCAAAATATGCAAAAAAAGATGACACGCACAGGTTGTTTAATAAGGAATAATGTAGAGCTTTATTGCCTCTCATTTTCATACAACACATTGTAAAAGTATCCTAAAAGTCTCTCGATATTAAAGATGATTGATGCGGCCCTTCGGCAGCTTTACCGCTGTGACCTTCAGCACTTTGCTTAAATTGACACTGATGTTAAACATTCTTCACAGGAGTGATAACATCAAGTGGTCTGAGGTCAGGCCTGAGACAGCAGACGGACAGAAATTGGATTATTTTGTCTAAATTCTCCCTCCGGTTCCAAGACTTAAAGGCTGTCGATAAGTGTAAAGCTTTCAGAAGTTACACTGACCACGGATGGAGCCTCTGGGGCGACTTGTTGGTGACATCCGATGAGGCCTTTTGCTTTGAAAGGTAACCTTCATGTTAAACCGATTACAGCTCACATTAGCATGCTCTTTGGGTGTCTTTAATACTTAGTATTCAGACGTAACTGCATGTTCTGCTCAAAACAAAATCATTTTTCTGATCATATTAAGTTCTGAGGCCGACCACTAAGATTTAATCAGTCCCAAGTGAACATCTGTCGCAGTTGTTCTGCTTATTTAATAAAGCGGAAAACATGCATGTAGTGTTTGTTGATCACTACATATTCAAGACACACACTGCCTGTGTTTGCTATCTTGTTACTTAATTTCCATATGAATTCGCTTACACAAACACAGAAAAGCAGAAAATACACAAATTAAATCAGAAATCTTGAGGGTTTTGTTTTTGTGTTGGCTTCACCGTCTAACAGAAATAAGGAAGTGTGATCACGTTACACCTGTGCATCAGGATTGATTTATTCTAATTATTATGATGCTGTTGAAATCCTGGGAAAACATTTCTAGCTTTAAATCAAGTTTTTTGCTTTGTTGCCATGCCCATATGATATTTTCTATGCCAGAAGCAGTCAAACATCATGACTGAGTATTTCAACCTGCAATGTACCAGTGACTGCTGCAAAAACACAGAATCAGACGTCCCAGGTTAAATACATAACAAGCCTCAGGAACCAATTCAGTCAACTTGTCTTTTGTGTCATTGTTCTTCTTCAGAATAGTTTTTTTAAATTCAAACACACGTGGCTCAATTTCTCCAATATTACAACTTTTCATTGAGCAACGTAGACTAGTAATACTTTGTGTTGAGTCATTTTAAGGTGGGGAGGATTATTTTCATGGACAGATAAACTTCTAACTCAGTAACTTTGATACACTGATGTGTTTCTAAGAGTTTGATAAATGGCCCAAGAGGGACTTGAAGCCCAAGGCAATTTCTTCAAAAACTTACACCTGAAGAAATCCTTGAGTCTGTAGCAGCTGCAACACTTTAAAGCCAGAGTGAACAACACTGGGTTCTCTGGATCAGACATCAGAGATACTGCAGAGAACTTTGAAGTGAAATGAGGTTGTGCAGCTCAGGTTAGAGTGAGATCTGACTTACTTACTTCTGCTTAATCAAAACAGGAAATTACAGTGAACAACAACCTTAAAACAATGAGTTATTGCTTTGAAACAATTCTACAGAGTCTCAGTTGCAACTCTACCAAATCTGAAACAACAAAAATGAAGCACAACAAATGCTGCATCAGTTTTAGTCATAATAATCCCAGATGGTCTCTTCATTTGGAAAAATGGCACCAGCTGAGGGTTGTGTACCAGCTATGACCTGATCTGAGTACAACATCCTCCAGGGTGGAAGGAGTTAAATCAATATCACTGCCTCCTCTGAAAGGACACTCACACGGGCTTCAAGATCAGCTGCAGTTTGGGAACAAGTTTAGTTTTTCTCTCACCCTGGCGTCACTTTTGAACGGATTGGTGCTGGCACTCCGAAAATGTATTCGGCCATTAATCTGATTTTCTCGGCTGGGGTGCCAAGAAACACGTGTGCTCGGTGGAAAATTTGCAGATGCAGCGTCCACAGGTCCGTCTGAGGAAGATGCAGATGTCTCAGTGCGTCCTATCATTCCCACAGAGACACATGAGAGGTGATAGCGTGACAATAAAACGACGTGATGTCTATGATAAGATAAGAGCGCTGTAGCTTCCACTCTAATTCCATAAAAATGGAAATGTCCTCTTCAGAAGCTGTTTACAACTGTGCAGGATGAAACTTTAGTAAGTTTACTCATATGCAGCCGGGGGAGCAGTTTGTATATTGTTCAAATATGCTGTTATGAAGCTAAATATGATCTAAATATTCAACACAAGAATGAAATAATGACACTGCAGCCACAGTGACGTGCTGCCATAAAAGCCCCTCCAGGAGGACGCGCAGACTTTACGTGCTCCCTCAGGCTTTCGTAAGAGGCTACAGCTTGTTGCCACATCAATGTGCTGTGAAGTCTGCTCACAGAATGTTCTTTGCCGCTTTTCATCTCCGCAGCCTACCTTTTTCCTGTCAGAATGTGTCAAATTTTCTCGTAAATGCATGTGCAAGATTAGCACGAATGAGTCTGAACACGAGTCTTAGTCACAGCGCTGCTAACTGGAGTGTGCATGGCAAGTGGCTGCATCACTGTCACACAGCTGTCACGCTGTAAATAATGAAACGTCACGAAGCGCCGGATGATGTGTGTTTGTCGGTTGGATGAATTGTTGTGGTAAAAAGGAATGGGGACACGGTTTGTTCTATCAAATCTGTGCTATATCATTTTTTCATGTATAGTTTTCCCAAGCAGGAATATTTATCAAGCGGATTATTCTAACACTAAATACCCACCAAAAATCTAAAAATAAGCATCGCAGTTCTGTGTTTTAATGAACAAAGAGCTCATAAGAAGTCACTTTTTACTCTCTCTCTCTGCACAAATTGGCCTAAATGCTGTTCTAAACTGAGAACATGAAAAATTAACCTGCCTGGTAATAACACAAAATGATAAAGAGGCAATATATACAAAAATGTTGCAGGGAGTTATTGATGCGCAACATTGCAGCCGATGACATTAAAGTTTGGTGTCCTGCAAATGGTGTCATTTAGAATATAAATGAGTTCCAAGCCCAGTCGCATATACATATTAGTAACATTATGAAAACAAAGAAGCGCTTGCTTGTGTGGCCAGTATTCGATTTGTTCCTCTTTGCCTTGCGGCAGAGACGTGTGGTGTCACTTTGACCTGGTTTCATCCTGTGTCTATCAGTGTTGTTAATCATCTCAGTGGGAAAAGGTACCTCTCAGTGGATTGTGCTGACATTAGCTCTGGAGAGCAAGTGAGGTTGGGTTATTGTGACCTGACATCAAATACCACTCAGGTACACATATACAAGTCTCAAGGGGAAGCGCTACAATTGACCCAGTTGCTGCCTCGCAGTTAACAGAACCATCTCTATAATAAAACTAGAGTGCGAGTTCTTGTGATAATCTCCCAAGACATGTTGACATGCACCTGCCTGAACACATTAATCAGCCCGAACATTCAGTTCCTTTGAAGGCTTAATTCTCTTTATCTAACCATCTTTCCAGTTTTGTTCTGTCAACTGATTGCTACAGTCTAGGAAGTGCTGCATGCAAACCATGACAAAATGAAGCTGTCAGCACTATCTCTTAGCGCTTAGTTCAAAGTTGTTTTTTTCCAGAGTAAATTAAAGGAATCAGCAACCAGTTTTTGCATGTAACATATATATATCAAATGGGCACAGTTTTATTTTCTGACCATAGGCTTACTCCAGGTGCTTCCTCCTACAGTCCAAAGACATGCCAGATAGGTTACCTGGTTAGTCTCAATAAGCCAGAGTGTACATGACTGTCTCTTTTTGTGTTCTACCTGCGATTAGTGACCTATTGTCAAGGGGTGTTCTGACAAACTTTAACATAAACTGCTGAAGGGGCCAGAGGAGCAAATGAAATGCAGCTCCAGAATCCAGGTGAATAAAAAACTAAATCCAAAGAGAATATCAAAAGAAACTAATCCCAAGAAAACAGAATGCAAAAGAACAAAAAACACAAACAAGTGCATAACAGAATTAATTTTTTTTAAAAAAGCCAAATGTATAAATTGGGAACTGCAAAGAGAAGAAAACTGAACAGGGCGACCTGACAAAAAACAAGAGGAAGACGCAGGACTATATATACAAAATTAACTAATTGGTGTTTTCACGTCAGAGTCTCCAAAACACCAGAAAAGTCTCCAGTAACACCAGAAAGAGTCGCTAGATTTGTCTCTAGTTGCTTTTGAAAAAGAAAAAAGCAGAGAGAGTCACCAAGTTGGCAACACTGTGCGTGCCAGTGGGTATCGCACATCGGCGGCTGTGACGCATATTTTGAGCGACACAAAATTTAATGCGTTTATTTTGATGTTATAAGATCGCCATAATCTTCGAATTTAGAATTACATTTTAAAAAATGACAAAGTAAAAATAAAATACATTTAAATTAAATGTTCATTATTTTCTTCCCTCAAAGCCACAAGGAGTCGCAGCAGAGGTATGAACGAGCCCTGTTCCAGCAGTACAAAGGGGACCAACACAATATTAGGCAGGTGGTTTTATAATTGTTTTCTGGTCGGTGTATGTTTTTAACACTAGCCACATTAAGAAAACTACACCCCCAAACACCCACCCTTTTCTTTACATATCCATCCGAACTTGTGAAGTTCCAGAAATCCCTTCCTTTGTGTCACCTTATCAGTGATCGTAAAATAGTTCACAAAAAGGGTGCAATAATGTGATGAGTCTAAAGTTCAGGTCCCACAAAGATGGCATCGCTTTGCATTCCCAGCGAAACGAACACCTTTACAACTCTCACGATGGGAAGTGAAAAATTTCCGGTACCAGTTTAAGATGACCCATCCCATTGTCCTCCATTCACGCCTTCCTATTTATGCTGCCTGCTTGTCTGGCAGTCTTTGGATTTCAAATCTACTCCTGTTAGAAGAACCCAAACTTGAGTTGCCATGGCGGCAGAGAGGAAAAACAGTGGGCTCGACAATGTTGCATTTGATGTGAGTACGACAACTTATTCATGCGGTGCTGGCATCTTTGGTTCTTTCTTTCTTAATGCAGCCAGTATCAACGGGGAGCCGTTAAGCATTCCGAAAACACATTGGCTTTGACTTATTATTTTTATATTGTTCCAATTAATCCTGCTAAATATGCAGAGGTTAATCACTGGGACTAGTGAGAGTAATTTAGGGTTGAAGTTTTTAAAAGTTGCATAACTCATCTGAGCTCACACAGCTCCTGCACAGGGCACAGACTGTACAGAACATTGTTTTAAAAAGACTTGTAAAGCATTATATTGTTGGAATCCCGACAGAGATGCCAAACTACCTGAAAGTGCACTGAAAATCTAAAATCTTTTCAATAATTCAGTGTTACATAAACATGAACTTTGAATGTGTACTAGTCAGAAAATTCTGCTGAAAGCAAGTCATCACACAGGAATGCCTTCAGGTGAGCTTTTGTTGCCTATTTGTAAAGAAACTGTTAGTGAGGTGAACTTGACGACAGGTGAGTAATTTTGCATTGAATTGAAGATGACTCCGTCTCCTCCTCTAACTCCTCAGCATTTATTCTGCCTGTTTGTCTGCGGTTTTGAATCCTCGTGTTATTTTTATGTGATGCTGCAGATGCAAGTCCAAAGAGAGGCGGGTAAGACTTGTGAGAGCAGTCGTGTAGCAGCGAAAGACGACAGAAATAAGCCCGACTATTGCGTGACTGATGTCCCCCAGTGGTACCTTTGTGTTTTCCTGGCCCTTCAGGTGGGTGTAATCCAATCTGTGTTGTTTTTGTTTGACTGCCTTGCAAGCTTCCTTATCTCTTGTGCAACTAAATTGTAATTGGGGCAATAAAAGCGACATGTCAAACTTCTGACTCAAAGTACAATCAGTTTTTGCTCTGTCAATGCTTTACAGGCCCTCTATGTTGTTATTGTGCATCACACAGCAGCAGTATAATCACTACCATAATTTCGTCATTCTCATCGCTGCTCCTCTTCACCACAGCATTACCTGACAGCGTTTGGTGGAATCCTCTCCATCCCTCTAATTCTTTCTGAGGGGTTGTGTCTGCAGCATGACAGCCTGACTCAGGGTCGCCTCATTAACACCATTTTCTTCGTCTCCGGCCTGTGCACCCTCCTGCAGATCACCTTCGGTGTCCGGTATGAATGTTGCTGCCAATTCACTCCAGCCCTCAGCATTCTTTACAAAAAGATTGGAGAGATAGTTGAGATAAATTCTGTTCACACAAAGTTGGACTTTAGGCGAGACAGAACCTTGACAAGCTGAAAAGTGTTGCACTTGTTACCGCAATCTTAAAGGTAAAGTTTGTGATTCCAGTTAACAGTTCTCGTCAGATTCTGTGAATATCTGCTCACAATCTGCTTACACTCTGTTCTGTGTATGTGCTAAATTAGTCTCTTCTAGTCTTAAGCTTTGATTATACTCCACACGATACTACAGCTGGATAGTTGTTATAAGGCCGGTGCAAGGCTTTCCACATTTTGTCTTCTCCCCATGTCCACGAGAGTTCACATGGACACAAATCTTGGGCTGCAGTCTGTGGTGGACTCTCGTGGACTTGGGGAGACAAAATTTATATCACATGGAGCCTACTGCTGCCAGTAGTGTGCATGCAAAAAACACACAAATACAATCTACTGCCCATTTCTATAGCTTCGAACTCCCACAAACTACCAAAATAGGACAATAAAAACAACTATGTCTCCAAATGTGTCTGCACTTGCTCGTGTGGACGTCCAAATGGGAGTATAATCGAGGCTTTATACTACTTTTACAGTCCACTTGGAACACTCCATTCCATAAATGCACAACAGATCACAACAGTGTGGACAAAATTTACTTAATGCAGAGCTTAGCACACACTCGTATACTCAAGGACACAAAAAAATAGTAGCCAATTCATTGTTTTTGCCTGGCCAAAAGCAGACAGTGGACATGCATGCAGTTCTCTTCTTACTACAATAAATGCACATTGGTCTGCTACACATCACTTCGAATATAGAAAAAATGATAAGACTTAAAGGATGTTTCTGAAAGGCTGGCTGTGACTACAGGATATAGCAGCTAGTTACAGATTCAGCTGTGGCACTACAGTGGACAGACATGTCACGAGATATCTAGAGTTTAGACCTCCATCGATGAAAGCATGTGCAAATCAAAGCATCTTCAAACATCGACTACTTAAAATACTAAAATGATAAAGGTGTAGATGATGGAGAATCCTCCTCAAAACAAGCAATTGTATTAAGAGTCATTTGTTTTCCTGAAACACGTATAGTCAGTGCGCTTGCAGTGCACATAATCCACGAGAGCTCAAATTTTGGCAGATATCACGGACCCTCACAGTCTTGGATAGATACTGAAATTTATGTCCTGTGTACCCCTGTGGACATGTGGTGGATGCTGAAAACATGAATTGACCTCAACACTGTCCTTAAACATCAAAACACCATCCAGTAACAACTCTGACGTACTCACTTCTCATTTTTCCATCTGTTTCTTCTGTTTAAGTCACTATTACGAGTAATATTTCAAATTTTATTTGCAAATTTCCATACCACTTTACTACAGAATCTTTGTCAGCATTAAGCCTTACTTCTGCTTACATATGTTTATTTTCAGTAATGTATCAGACTTATATCTTATTGTTTTTTTTTCATTATGCACTGCATTTATTGTCACATGTAATTTTGTTTTCTGGGCACGATCAGGCACAAGCTTAATAAAGTGCAATTTTATCTTCCTACACGTAGGCTCCCCATTTTACAGGGTGGTACATTTTCCGTGTTGACCCCTGCCATGGCCATGCTGTCCATGCAAGAATTCAAGTGCCCAGCTTGGACCCAGAACGCCACTCTGGTCAACACCTCATCCCCTGAATTCATAGAAGTGTGGCAGACCCGCATGAGAACAGTAAGCCAACACTGTGCAGCCAATATAAGCAAGCCAACAAAAACAGCACTTCTGTGGAGCTCATGATTGATTCAGTGAGCGCATGTGGCTTCCGCTCTGGGGAGCAACCAGTCATACTCATTGCTACAGTCTATCACTCAGACAAAAGAAGAGTGGTGATGCTGATGTTGCTGTGTTTGTGTCCGCAGCTGCAGGGCTCTATCATGGTGGCCTCCGTCCTGCAGATCCTGGTTGGTTTCTCCGGCCTCCTCGGTTTCCTCATGCGCTTCATTGGCCCCTTAACCATCGCCCCCACAGTCTCTCTCATAGGCCTGTCACTGTACGACACAGCCGGACAGAAGCTGGGCAGCCACTGGGGCATCTCTGCTTTGTAAGTAGTAACCACTCTGAAGTGGGCTGCAGATTCACAACTGACCTTTCATTTCAACAGGCCACAGTCTAGAATTACAATAAGTTGTGTGTGAAGCTGTAGTCTGTAGCCAAGGCTCAGAATTTAGACATGCCAATCCCGCTGTAACTTCACTGATTATGGTTTCATCAGCAGTTTGACTCAAGTATGAAAGGAGTCTCTACTTTGCATGTCATTATGTTATTCTTGTCTTACACACAGGACCACAGCGCTGATCATCCTGTTCTCTCAGTACCTCTGTCGCGTACCAGTTCCTGTTCTTGCATACAACAAAACCAAGAAACTGCACTTTGTAATGTTCTACCTCTTCCGGACTGTGCCTGTATGTCCTCTGGCAATGCATCACTCATCCTGTAATGCCAATATATTTTGAAAGCTCAATTTTCAGTATGATCTGACTTGTGGACGCTGATACTGATTCTATTAGATCCTGCTTGGCATTACGCTCCCATGGTTACTCTGCTACCTCCTCACCATCTACGATGTCCTACCATCTGATTCAACCCAATATGGCTACCTGGCCCGCACTGACGTGAACGGAGATGCCCTGAGCGAGGCTTCATGGTTCATGGTTCCTTATCCTGGTAAGTTCCCACAACAACTACACATTGCTCAAAGGTACTGGTGGAAGAAGTATTTAGATCTTTTATTTAAGCAATAGCAATATCATCCATTCAGTAATTTTGTCCTGTTTATTCAAAGTTGGGCTGTGGTGAAGGTCCTTACTTACTATCCATGGAGCTCACTTCATGTAAAAGGATCTATGTGTTTTAGTCACATTATTCCAGGATTACATGTACAGTTGTAGGTAGGTTGTGGCAAATCTGTGTATTTTAGAAATGAGAAGAAGAATGTACTATTATGTAATCTTTGAATTTATTTGAAAAAAATCAAAATGTGGTTTTCACAGATAAAAAAAAAAACATTAGAAACTGCAAAGTTACTAAAGCTGTCAGACAAATGTCATGGCGTAAAAAGGGCAATATTTACCTCTGAGATGTAATGAAGTAAAAGTGTAGAGTTGTGTTACATTGTGGTACTACAGAATTTCTCTGTATAGCTGAATGTAGTGTCCTCGCTGGTTGCATTAAGTTTGAATATGTGATTTTCCCAGATATAACAAAAATAGATTGTCTGAAGAGTAACAAAAGCAGTCAGAAAAATGTAGTCGTAATCTGAGATGTAGTGGAGTAAAAGTGTAGAGTTGAAATAAATGGAAAACTGCAAGTATCTTGAATTTCTACCTGAGTACATCTACTTTTTTGTGTTCCACAGCTGTTGAAAGGTCTATTTTTGAAATCCTGCTCTTTCAGGTCAGTGGGGGATGCCGACTGTCAGCTTGGCAGGTGTGTTTGGCATTATGGCTGGAATAATATGCTCCATGATAGAGTCTGTGGGCGACTACTACACATGTGCCAAGCTGTCGGGGGCGCCTCGCCCCCCCAAGCACGCCATCAACCGGGGCATCGGCGTGGAAGGTATCGGCTCTTTGCTGGCGGGGGCCTTTGGAACAGGAAATGGCACTACTTCTTTTTCCGAGAATATAGCAGCGCTCGCTATAACTAAAGTAATAGCACTGGTGTCATTTATACACTATGCACAAGTTATTATTTCAAATTTCTTGAACAGTATACATTCATACATGACATGGTGTTTGTGGTGACAGGTGGGTAGTCGGACAGTGATTTTCCTAACTGGATTGCTCATGATTTTGATTGGGATGCTGGGCAAAATTGGAGCCATCTTCACAACCATCCCCACCCCTGTGCTCGGAGGGATGTTCGTGGTCATGTTTGGAGTCATATCTGCTGCTGGAATTTCCAATCTGCAGGTAAACAGCAGCCCGAAATAGTGTTTTTCTTTCATTGTTTACAGATGCGGCTTTGCTAATAGTGATGTTTTTGCTTATTTGACAGTACGTTGACATGAATTCATCTCGGAATGTCTTCGTTTTCGGGTTCTCCATGTTTTCCGCACTCGTCATTCCAAACTGGATCGTAAAGAATCCTGGTTATCTCGAAACAGGTACGATTAACTTGACCTTGATTAGAACAGAAAGTCCTTAATATCAGTCTTATGGTTTTATTATTCTGCACTGATATGTTTCTCTTGTGTCCTTGGTGCCAGGAGTCAAAGAGGTGGACCAAGTTTTGACCGTATTGTTGACCACCAATATGTTTGTAGGAGGGTTTTTGGGCTTCTTCTTAGATAACACAATTCCTGGTAAGCTGACGTGGAACACTGTCACTGAATCTGTATCCCATTCTGATTTGTCATTACTAAAGGTATAGGTGTAACTACATAATTCATCAGAAGTAAACTGCAGTCATAAACTAAAAAAAAAAAAGTTAAAAATTAAGCTACAGGCCTGCGGTCTTATGCTCATTGGCTTGGTTTTTCGAGGCACTTGAATGTTAATGACGGTCTGGTGCATGCAGTGTCACGTAGATCTTGAGCATGCAATCTGTTTCTGCTGTGTTCTTTTACTGCTAACGTTTTATCACTGTGCAAATCAGCCTTTCTAATCTGTGAATGTCAGCTAATTCCCTTTCCATTATCATTCAGGGACCAAACGTGAACGTGGCCTCCTAGCCATGGAGACGCTACACCTTGAGAGCTCGAACAGCGACTTGGGAACTGAGGAGGTGTATGGCCTCCCCCTTGGCATAACTTCTTGCCTTCGATCCCAGTCTTGGGTTCGTTACATCCCTTTCTGCCCGTGGGAGGGTCAGAAAAGTCAGTCTGAGGAAGACATCAAGCCAGAGAGCCAGTGGAATAAAGACAAACCCGAACGTATCATTAATGAAATTGCTCTATAAAGTCTGAACGAGAGGTGGTGTAGTAAAATGAAATATCACACTTGCTTCTTCTTTTAGGTCACACTCATGACTATAAGTACTAGTATAAGGTGGATGAAGTTCAGATCTGAAAAGTGAAGCCAATTCAGAAATGACTTTAACCTGCATTGCCTCTACCAACCAGCAGGGGGCAACTCCTCCAGAGGCAGAAAGAAGCCAGCTTGTATAGAAGTCGGTGAGAAAGTGATCCTAGTTTTTACCTCACTGCTTTCAAGATGTTTTGAGTACAGCAGGGTGTAAATTATTTTCCCATTTAGAGGACAATAGACTATGAACAGGTTGCTACTGTGTCTCCATACTCCATCCCACTCTCACTCTCCTGGATGCCGAGAAGCTTGTCCACGCCTTTGTCTCCTCCAGACTGGATTACTGCAACGCACTTCTCATCTGGATCCCCAACAGAAGCTTCCAAGGGCTGCAGTACATTCAGAACAGTGCTGCTAGGATCCTGATGAGACAGCACATCTCCCCCTTCCTTCACAAACTTCACTGGCTCCCCGTCTCCGCAAGGATTCAATACAAGGTCTCTCTCCTCACTCTCCATTGTATCCACGGCAATGCCCCCCCAATCCTGACAGAGCTCCTCATGCTCTCTGTTCCACGCCTGTGGAACGTCCTCCTGGACCATCTGAAGGTTCTACAGACTGTTTTAAGTTTTAAAAAGGGACTGAAAACCTTTCTTATTAGGAGACATTTTAATCTTTAAAATCTTAATGCCTTTTGGCTGCTGTGTTGTGACTTGTTTTTATGGGTTTTAATTCCAGTTGTAGCACTTTAAGATTGTTTTTACAATGTAAAGTGTTTTTCAGAAAAAATGTATTATTATTATTATTATTATTATTATTGTTGTTGTTGTTGTTATTGTTGTTGTTGTTGTTGTTGTTGTTGTTATTACCATACGTGGTGTCCTTGCTTCTGACACCTGGTTTCAAAAGATCAGGAGAGCAATGACTAAATTCCAAACTTGAGTCTTCAAAATGTGTGACCACACAGCCACTTCTTCTTCCATCATTTATATACAAGTCTATGGTAACACTCCGACTCTAAACTTTACATCATCCATCACTCGTTGATTTTTTGAACTGAAGAACATTCAGCTCATTGTGAGTTGTTTGTGAGTGAAAATTAAGTTTTTTCTCTTGTTAATTTGTCCTCATGATGTGTTTTTTATTGCTAGATAACACCTCGTGAATGAAATCAGCAGTATCCACGTTGAAACTGAAGTATACTCATGACCTCCAGAGTTTCATCCATAACAAACCCAAGGAACCAATCCCGTCAGCTTACACAGTGGAGCTTTCTGCATCAATATTCTTCTTTCACACAAAAACCAAAAAGCGATGTCAAGGTACTTTCCTCTGAAACACTTAGGTTTACTATGACCTGGATAACTTACAGTCTGCACAGACATAGTCAACGCACCTGCAGAGTCTCCGTGGTCATTGTGATGTTCCATTCAAAAGTTTCTTTGTGTGTTTTATCAATAACTATCTACAACTATCTGCATATCACTATATCTCCAAATAGTCCTTGTCAAAGCTGAAACCGTGCAGCAGCACCCAGCTGACATCACAAAAACTAAGCCTCACACAGTCCTCGTTAGTATAGTGGACAGTATCTCCGCCTGTCACGCGGAAGACCGGGGTTCGATTCCCCGACGGGGAGCATCAAGTTTTCTAGCAGCTGTTGTGTGTCTCTGGTTTAGACTTCTGTATCTGATTTACTACAAAAATACAACTTCGTAGAGCAGTTTTACATGTTTGAGCAGAGTTGTGAGTAGAGAGGGGGAAAAATACGGTACAGTTTCATAATCCAACACCTAAATAAGTAAAAGACTGAGCAAAGAATACATAAATCATAGGAGGGTGAGGTGTGAGAAGCAGCAGAAACAAGTCCAATACAGTGAAAAGTTTTGGGAAATCTTGAGGTCATTCTCCTATTTATTGATGTGGAGCTTAACTTTTAGATGTTTGCATCAGTGTAGAAAGTGTTTACTTAACAAAATGAAGTTGTTGATCAGAAAATCCCAGTTGTACTCCCTCATAAGCACTCCAGCTTTGATCGAGATCATATTTAAGTGCATATCTTTAGATTGAAATGACAAACAAAACTCCTGTGGAGGTTCACACTGTCATGAAAGGGAGGTAGAGTTACACCTGAGCCTTTATAAAACATGAAGGAGTTATCTTCATGGAAAAAACTTACATAAATCGACATAAATGCAGACTGCAAATCAGGCCATGCTACTCTTGTTTGATTATAAACAGAAATATGTTCATTTTAAACAACACAATTAGAGTAATTTATTTTATACATGTAGCCAAACTGCCAACCCTGGGTTTAGTCTTGATGTGTAAATTGGATTTCTACTATTTGCGGCTTTCTGCACAAAGACAAATGAAAACATCTGAAGATTTCACAATCTGTCAACAGCAATTAAAAGAGAAGCACTGAGCGATCAAAGTGTTCCTGTGTTCTGCCATCACTCAGAACTCTTCCAATAACTCACAGGCAGTCGCACACATGCAGACGTAAAACTAGAATAATGTGCTCTTCCTTCTCCTCTTTCAAAGGAAATTAAATTTAGCCTGTGGATAAATTTATTATCATGCAGCCCTATCTCCACACTGATCCAGGCAGCTGCTTAAAAACCCGCGGCAGCAGCCCTCCAGCTCTTATTGTGTTTCCTTTTGCAAAAACAAACAGATAACACATCTTCCCAATCTTTCTTCTTTGCCCAGCGCTGCTGTCATCTCTTTCTCCCCTGTATTCATTTCCTCTGTCTAACCACCTTTGACAGGCAGGTGGGATACGGTGTAATGCTTTGATCTGTGGAGCCATCGGCTTTATTCCCCGAGGCCCATTCTGAGCTCCTGGACGACGGTCGACTGGCCACACCGGAGATATTTCAGGATCATAGCCACTGAGCGCAGTTTGCGCTTTAAAAATCCCACATTTTCTTTGATTGTCTGGATGTGGCTCGATGAGAAGACATTACAGGATATTACATTTTGTGAGGTGGCGTTCTGGAAAGTGGTTTTGCGCAGTAATTCACAGTCGAGGTTTATGTAACGCTGTGGCAGAGATCTACATTTCAGCAGCAAATGATAAAGATAACTCAGCAATTCCTGCTCATCAGGGAAAGCTTCAAAGTTGCTCTTTTTTTTTTTCTTCCTGTTTGACACTTCTGCCTTGAGGAATTGCTTTTATTTTGTCTCTCTGAAATAAGCATCCTATTATCTCCCACTTTGTGAGATATATTGCAAGATCTCGAAAGATCAAACCTCAGATGCCAAGTTTATCTTTTTTGACGTAAATATCACAGAAAATGGAGTTAAGGGAGCAGATACGAGGAGGAAAAATGAGAAAGAAGCAGATGGAGCCACACTGCAGGCAAACGCACTGCTTATGAATTTATTCAGACACAAACAGGGTAAATAAGAAATATGCAGTGAAGGCGCACAAGAGTAAATATGCTTCCGTTGATCTTATTTATGGTACTCGCATTTATTCTGGTGACAGATTTTTATTTGAAACCTCTAATCTGCATGTATGCGTACAGTAGTGGCATCGGATTCCATCATTGCTGCTATTTTTCATCATGTTGCAGATTTATTTATGCGCCGCAGGGGAGGAAATATTCTGTGGATTTTAACCAAAGTTTAAGGACGCCCCGAAGGCAACTGCTTCCTGTTTACTCAGGGAGAAGGAAATGTTTCACCGTGCCAAGAAACAAGTGCACATCCATTAATAAGAAGGATGCATTCAATCCCGCTTGTTTCACGCAGGAGATCGCTTTTACACGTTTTTGCTCATGTTCTTGGAATGCTGATACGTTGCAGCGCGAGGACACTGTAACGGCATGTGACAACAACATCGGTGCATTAATACAATAAAGGTCAGGTTCAGCCTGCGGCGCTTTCACTGGGACGTAACAAATGACGTGTTCGTTTGCTGAGCTTCTCTTGTACTCCTGTGGTTGGAAGAACTGAATTCATTCTCACACAGAGAGGAAAATGGCTTTCAGGCAGTGCTGGAAAGTAACTCAGTATATTCCCTCAAGTATTGCAGTTTTGAGGTGCTTGCACTTTGCGTTAGTATTTTCATTTTATACGACTTCTTGTTTTTAATGCTGCTCTCATATTAAAACTGGATATAAAGTCGTTTAAATCTGCAGCAGCTCCTACAGTAACCTGCTGCTGACACACTGATGCTTCACTGTTAATAATATAATAACATATCAGTCAGAGGAACCAAACCAGGACTTTTACTGCAATACTTTACTATGTGTTTTTACGTAAGTAGGAGTTTTCATGTATATCTTTTACTGGTAATGGAGTATTTTTACATCGCTGTATGAGTAACTTTCCCCATGTCAAGGATCTCAGCCTGTTTTCAGGATTAAAGAAGGAACCCAAACAAAAACAGAAACACCGACACTGATTTATCTTCAGCAAGTACTCTGATGACTAGTTAACTAGCTGATGTAAAAGCATTTAAAAAAAAATTTTAACAGTTTTTAACTGTAATATTTTGGAGATTTTACTTCTTCAAAATAATTCATTTTTAATTTATTCTTTAATGTTTAAATTACTCTGTTAAATTACATTAATTCTACTGTTTTCAATTAATAAAAAAGACATTATTTTCCAGAAATTTGCTGTTATTTGAGAGAGAAATTATGTATATTAAAGACACAATTTTTAAAGTTATTTTGCAGATTTTTCTATCCAGATGACGTCTAGTAAAATTCCAGGGGAAAAAAGATATCAATGTACACATTAATTGTAAGGAAAAAAATAATAAAATAAAAAAATAAAACAGGCCAAAATATAAATAATGTCTAAATCAATAACTTAAAAAAAATTTTTTTTACAAAGTGTCATTTGTTTCTTTACAATTTGTGGCTGTAAAAGTAGGGTGTTTAACTGTATTTAAATCTCCGAAATTACAATTATTTT